CGTGTGCAATTAATTATCAGAAAAACTTTAATCCATTATTTTTTGGCACTTGACGATTGACACGATCAGTGCCGACAGGCAGACTGACTGGAGGTTTCCCCGGTCAGTCCACTCTGTGCTCCTCTCCGCTTCAAATATGACAAACTTTTTTTAAAAAAGTTCTGTAATTTATTTATCATAACTCTGGTTTTAATTGACCTATCAGAACAATTAAAAAAATGATGTATAGCCTGAAGTCTGTACTWTGGACACAATTTAAAACCGTTTTTACGGAGATCAAATCTTTCCTACTAGAGTGATTTAAATCGGTCATGTGACTARGGCATGCAGGCGTCCAGGGACTCCAGGGGATTAATTGTCATATTAATCGTTATCGGCCAAATACCAGAATTAATCACGAATTTTTTTGGCCAATATTGCCCAAACCTAGAGCAAACTAAAATTTTAATTCAGTTAATCCAACATTTGTAATAACAAGTAGCTACTTTATCTTCATATTGACATAATAAGTGATTCAGTTTTAAAGAGATGTTAAGTATAAAGCACTAAAATCAAACTGGGAACTCCAAAAATCATCTCCARTCCTAACTTCTGGTTATTAAGAATATAAATGTTGACAAATTCCAAGCCTGATTTGTAACAGTGATAATAAAGCTGCAATAAGAAAATCCCAGTGTTGTTTTCTGCCTGAACACAGAAACAGAAAACTCTTCGCTGCGTCACAAATCMGGAGGCGAGAAAGCACAGAAAGGAAAATAGCTGAATGAAAACCTTGGAGATGAGTGGCCATAAAACAGAAGAGAAATACAGACAGAGTCGTGTAACAAGGACAACACATGCACAAACACTCACTAAACCTTCTGCAGGGTTATTTATTGGGCAAAATGTGAAAGTAATCACAAACACAGAAAAGTTCCTGCTTACTTTGATTCCTGCTGCCAAAGAGAGAAGAGTAAAAGGAAAATTATCCATTTTTAAGAGTTTACTTTTTAAATTCTTTGGATTTTTAGTCTRCAAACACATTTTATATTCTATAAGACTTGATCTCAGTCCTGATGTTCCTTTGGAAGTATAATAAATTTGAAGCTTGACTCKCTTTCTCTTCTTCCTCATTCTCCASGGWATCTCCAAAAATGCAGCTTTTGAGGGACATAAACAGGAAGAACAATGTTATAAAATCAGTTATTTAAGCTTTATTTTTTTAGTCCATATGGAAAATTGTTGAACTCTAATTAATGACTTTAACTTTGTGTTTCTCTATATTTTAACGTAAACATAACTTGGGACTTCTGTGGCACATATGAGCTCATTGTCACTCTATTTTGGATCAATCACTCRTGGGTCCACAGTTTTCAGCACTAAAGCTGGAGATAATGAACTGATTTGTTGAAATATTTGTTGAAAAAGCAGAAGGGAAAAAAAAGGATAGTTTAAGTAATTTGAGTGATTTSGACCTTGTTTTTTGTGTGTCCTTTTCATCCTTGAGTGATAAATTATTCTGTTTATCGAGTGCCACTGTCCTGCATGTTTAGGATTCTCTGATTTGACATGTCTGGATGTCAGAGAGGACWATGAAAGCCCTTCACGTCTCTTCTGAATGCACTGACTGGGACGTGTTCAAAGCAGCAGCAACAACRCACACTCAGGAAGTCTGTGTGAACAATATGCAACATCTGTGACTGCATAAATCCAGAGGTGGATGGAAGACATCAGCACCACCAAAACCTTAACATCACGGGTCAGCTTGATGGTGGTGGAGGTGCGGGGTATGGTTAAAGCTCAGAACAGCCAGAGCCAACCACACCCGTGCCATAAGGAAGGCAAAACGTGCACACGCTCTGAAAGTGCAGAGCCTCGTCCATGATCCAGCAAACACCAGGAGCATGTGGCGAGGCATSCAGACGATCTCCAACTACGGGGACAACAAAACACTTTCAAACAACAACACAGAGTTCCTAAATGAACTCAGCAGATATTTTGGCAGGTTTGAGGCTCAGAACAACTCCCCAGCTGTGAAGAAAACCCCACTATCTGATGAGCACTRAAGTCTTGAAACACTGCAGTTCTGCAGGACACTGATAAACATGAACACCAGCAAAGCAGCAGGACCTGACAACATACCATAGAGAATACTCAAGGAATGTTCGCCTGTGTACTGACAGACATCTTTAACAATTCTCTGAAGCAAGCCATTGTTTCCTCCTGCTTTAAGGCAGCCATAATCATACCGGCCCTCACACCCATCACGAAGTGCTTCAAAGGTCTTGTTAAGCAACACATCCCTCCCACCTTTGACCCCTTCCAGTATGCTTACTGCTTCAACAGAGGATGCCATCACCCCAGCACTCCACCTGAGCCTACAACATACGAATACACCCGCTTCAGATGTTATCATCCATTAAATGGATGTTATTAGCTGTTATCAGTCAAATAGAATGGCTTCAGACTGGCTTCAGACTGTCCAGACTGTGCCGCCTAGTGGGTTCGCCGTCCCATAGAATGGCTTCAGACTGTCAGCTGGTTAATATGAGGCATAAAGCCACTAAGGTGAATTTTGGAGAAAATGACCTGGGCTACGATAAAGTAGACCGGACTCCGGCAGTAGCAGATTGTTGAATTCCAATGTATATGACACTGGTAACCCACTAGGGGACACTGTCGGGACAGTCTGAAGCCATTCTATGGGACTGATAACTGCTAATAACATCTATTTAACTGCTAATAACATCCATTTAAAGGGGCAATATCATGTAAAATCAACTTTTTTGAGTTTTATATCATGTTATAATGTTATACTCTCATAAAAAACATGCCAAAAGCCTTGCTTTGACTCATTCATGATGTTTGAGAAATCCTGCAGTGTTTTTAGGAAGCCATGTTGAGGAGCAAAACGACAGGTGGGGACCAGAAACGCCTTCAGGAACCAGAAACGCCCCTGAGACGTGTCTTTAAGCCGAACTTCCTCATGGCAGAGCGCACCCCATCTCCCCTACCCCACACCCTGTCCATGACTCCTGCAGGCTCTCGGGTGAAAGTGAAAGTGAAACCTAATTGTCTGCTGAGCTCTCAACATTAGTTCTCACTCAGTGAAGCTCTTTTCAGATTAAAAATACCTTTGAGGAAATGTATTTTCAGATGCCAAGTAAGCTGTATCATGGCAGCCCCCCCACTCCCCCGCACCGAAATGGGCTAAACAGAAGCGGAAGGTGGTTCTTAAAGAGACAGAGGCCAATTTCAAGGCGTTTAGAAAAGGAAGTGATGAGAGGAAAAGTTTATTTTCTATTTAAACATAAAGCACCATGTTCCTGGGGGTGCACATAACCAGCCAGCTGTCTTGGACAAAAAAAACATCCACTGGGTCCCTAGTGAAGAAAGCCCAGCACTTCCTCCGTAGGCTGATAAAGACTGTACCTCCCACCGCCTGCCCTCACCACATTCTATGTTCAGCTTTGTATGGTGAGCTGTACAAATCTGAATGACGATAAAGTTGTTGAATCTTGCATCTGATTTGAATCAATGAGTGATTAACAGGCTTCTGCTGATCTTGAAGTCGTGCTGAGGAGCAGGGAAACAACTCAAATCATGCAGGACAGTGGCCCTCGAGGACCAGGACTGAGAACCACTGATCCAAACTGAAGTAGACTGAGCTGAGCAAAACTGAAAGGATGAACGCACAAGTAAGAAAACTAAACACAGGAATCACATAAAACGAACCTAATTCAACTGAAAAGACTCTAAACGAACTCACAAAAAAAGCACAAATCCTGACATCCACACTGTAGACTTTTATTTTCCCCACTTCCAACTAATCTTCAAATTTAGTATTGGCTGCTCTGCGTTTCAGCCCMTCACCCACTTTATTCGTGTCTTAAAACATAAAATATGAGAAGAAATGTGCTGCTCTCAGCACGTTTAGAGGTTGGATCAGCAAAAGGAAACCCAAGAATTGTCAAAATCAAGCAAATAAACCACAAAACCAATTAGTTCATCTATACTGTTCATAGCCTCTAGGTTTTTTTCTCTGTTTCATTGCTGACCAGACTGTTTTGTCTTTTGTTTTTGTGGAAGCCAAACCTACCCTCTCAGTTATGAGCATAAATAAGGTCTGCAGATGATATTGCACGCTGAATCAGTGCATTGTGTTCCGAGTGTGCATATCCGAGAAGCTCTCTTTCACACAAAAGGCAGTTGATGTTCAATAAAACCACTCCAGTATAGTATATATTTTTTATTTTAAAAGGCTTATTCATTTACCATCATCTCGTAAAGCCCCACCCCTTTCGCCTTTTAGGACAATAAAAGCAACAAAATTCCCGAGCCTGGCTCCGCTGACCGCTCCAAACGCTCCCCACAGAACACAGAGCCAACATGAAACAAAGACTCAAACACACTGAAAATGCAGCTGATTGGATCTGTCAGTCCCCATGTAGAAATAGTGCCTGAGCGCTGTTTGCATGTCAGCGGGGCAAACTTAAACGAAAACACATGTGTAAAACGCAGAAAGCAGAAGTCAAGTGGGCCTCGTCTCTCTGACGGGTGAAACCAAATCGGATCAAACCTTTCCGCTCAAAGTGCACGGTAATGTTTTGCCATCAGAGCACATGAAATGTAAATAAAACTACCTTACAGGTCCTCCTGTAAACACTAATCGTAAATGTGAGGATGAACACATGCGCATCCATAAAATGCCAAGAAAATGATTCTGCCAGTCAGCTTTCTGTTTTCTATTTCGTTTTTTTAAAGTTTTGAACAAAACCTAACATTACGACATCTGACAGGCCTCACCTGACATTTCACCTTCACATTTACCTGTGACATCTGGAATGCTTCCAGCTCACACGCTCAAGCAGACACGTGCACGAAAAGCTGCAGAACCTGCGTGACGCCTCTGATCTGAACCAGCGCAGGAATCAGAAAATAAGTCTGAGGCATGTTTGAGCCGAGAGCACCTGTGCCACTTGAAGTGTTTTTTTATATATATTTATTTACGTCCATCTTACCTTCTTCACAGCCTTTGACGGTGACCTCCTCGTGGGCTTCTGCACCTGGCCGCTGGGCGTGGAGGGCTGCTTGGACACTGAGCCGTTCTGGCGCTTCTTGGTGTGGGAGGAGGGGGTCGGGGACGGCACAGGGGACGGGGATGCGGGGGTCGAGGAGGAGGCGGGTGCCTCTGTCCCGAGAACGGCCATGTCCTCTGTGGCTGTGAGGTGGAGGCTGCGCAGGCTTTCATACGTCTCCTGATCGACCACCAGCAGCCGGGTCTCATGGGCCACTGCCTTGATCCGCTGCACGACCTGACCGTGGGACAGAAGGACTCTTTATTGTTTTGTTTGGAGAAAGGTGTAAATTGATGTTAAATATACAAGTTCTTCATACAATACGAGTTCTTTGCCTATATGAGTTTTATTTGACCGTTTCTAACATTTTTGCGGGAACRRYTGTATTTTCTAACAGCCTTGGACAGCAACTTGGCACTGCAGCACCTTTTATAAACAAACGCCCACAAAGTTCTGACTAATCATATAATACATACCCTGTAAGAAACGAGTTCTGAAGGAGGCAAAGAATAAGACGGGGTCTCAGCGAGGGCTAGGAGCCGAAAAACACGCAATTTTTGTCACAGAAACATGTCATCAAGACACATTGGCTTATATCTCATAAACCAGGCTTTACTCCTAACTCGAGGTCAATTGATACAACGACCCGACAATATTTTGAGCTGATATTTGTGCTTTTTTTCTTGTATCGGCATCAGTCGATTTGTGCATGCATTCGCAGATATGATGAAAACAATCAACCTTTGTTTTTGTTGTATTATATTTAAATGTTTTACATTGTTTGCTATCATTAATGTTTTTGTTTTGCTAAAATGTTTAAATTGAGATTCATGTAACATTTGTTGTCATTGTGTCATTTTATAATGTAAATACTACTCTCTAACTCTAGAGAGCAGAGAGTAGTAACTCTAACTCTCGACTCTACTCTTAACCTCTGTTTATTTATGAGTAGATTGTAATGATATAATAATAAWATTGCTGGCTGTCAGCATGAGAACAAAATGACCCACTTTTCATTTCATATCTTGTTTTGATTATAAAGATTATTTTTGAGTGAATTTATTTATTTGAGAAAAGGGGCAGAAATCACAAGATTTTTTTCTTCTTCTGCAGCCTTTCATTGGGTTTATGATTCGTATTTTTATTGAAAATTGAATTTATGTTGTTTTGTTTTAAATGAATAAACTTTATAATATGATGTGACCAAAACTGGAAAAAAAGTGGTGAAAGTACAAGACAACAAGTAACCATAAACAACTCAAAAAATAAAAACATTAAAAAAGTTGTGTTATTACAGTATGTATACATTTTGTGTGCCACTTTATACTGTATTATTGTTGTTTTCTGTTACAACTGTTTCTTCCCCTCCTGGACCACCGCAGTTGTGAAACCAAAACATCTGAGGTCAGAATACAACGACTGGACGTAAGAATGATAGAAAAATCATTCTGAATCAGTGCTTCACATTGTCTACATGCATGCAAACAACATTTCTTTTTGTTTTTAGGCTGTTATCCACAGTGAGAATGTGCTTTGTCATTGTTTGGCTGTTGGTCAAATGGCAGCTCATAAATAGTGTAAAAACTAAAGTTTTGTTTATGAAACACATCTGARCTGATGTGGAAAAAGTACGTGCAGTTTCTCGGAGACCAGAGGCACACACAAGAACCAGGACTGGAGACAGTTTTAACCTGATTTACAACGACAGCAGATATYTGCAGACATTTCTTGGCACAGACACATGGACTGGGGGCTGAACAGACAGAGGCTGGGGTTCTGTTTGTCTGGGACTGATATCTGGAAAAGGGTTGCTTATCACCAGACAAACAATCAAAGTCTTTATTAAAGTGAATGTGTTTGTTGTTATTGTTCTGTCTGCACAAAGGTCAGAAGATGGAGCTGATTGCAAAGCTCAGAGACAACAGGTATAGTTATTATTATTATTATTATTAAAAGTGCGCACAATGCAGCCCCTGAAGCGTGCCAACCTGTGACCTGTGGATGCACCCCTGCAGGATCCCGGGGCTGTAACTCGAGTTGGAATCATAAATATAAAAGGAGCCACTCGCCTGGTGGTGCGTCTCTTTCTCCACGTTGACTCCGTTCACAGCCACCACTCTGTCCCCGGCGCGCAGTCCCGACTCCTCCGCGGGGGACGCGGGCTCCACTTTGCGGATGAACTGTCCCGTCTTCCCCTTCTCTCCGTGCAGGTGGAACCCGTACCCGGTCTCGCCTTTGGCCATGACACAAAGCCGCGGTTTCCGCTCGTTGGCCATTTGATCTGATCCTGCAAGTTGAAGAATTGGTTTAAAAAGATGCACGAAAAAAAGAAAGAAAAAAAAAACGACGGGAGTTTAGGAGGAGAGGGCTAAACTTCCAGCGTGCGTCATGACTGCTCCGTGCAGAAGCTCACATCACCGCACAAGAACTCAAAAGCGACTTAAAAACTAAAAGGAGTTTTAAAACAAGGCAGCAGAGTTCCAATTTCCCACAGCCAGCCGAACAGATCGCGTTTCTTCTCGGGCTCCTGGCTGCTCCAGAACTGACCCGATCATCCAGAACCTCCTCCACAATTATCACCGCAAACACTGCAAGCCTGCAGGACGACTTTGGTCAGACTTTCCCTGCACAGATCCACAACAAAACGGACGGTCCGGAGAGGGAAATATCCCGCTGCAGGTCAGCTCGAACCTATTTTGACGCACAACCCGCAGCTTGTTGTGCGCAACAGCGCCACCTTCCTCCAGAACGGAGACTCGGGACAGAATGAAAGAGGTTGAAAATGATGCAACGACGCCCCCCTGTGGCAGAAAAACAAACAGAAAACATCTGTTTTGATTTTAATTGAATCACACCACCTGTGCCAGAAAATGTCTCCCTTTATTAACCTCATAATATAAAAAGCAAACATAATGAAAACCCGCAGAAATAATCAATCGTGATAAAAAGGAGTCCTAATCTGAAACACCTGCAGCTTCTGTGTCCCCCTTTTACATTTCGTCTTACTATATTCACAGCTTTATACAGTTAATTTGATGTCAAATATCAATTAGAGAAGACAATTAATGGCGCTAGTCACTCTAGATCAGGACAAATGTTTAATTCTTGAGATGCACTTTAACTCAGATGAACAAACAAAGGGCCACACATTATATTTTAGAAAAAAAAAMCCCTGCCTGCCCTGTTTCTGATCAATTTTAATCAGCTGAAAAATGTTTGAAGTCCTTGAACAATACTTGTCATTTTGTGTGTAAACTGTGGGGAACCAGGAATGTTGTGTTGGGGGTTGCTGCACCCATCCCTCTCCTGGACATGAAATCKTATGCAAAACATTTGTTATAAACATGAAAGTAGGAGGAGAGGACAAACTCGGATGTGTTGTGTGAGTGCACTGCTCTCAAACACAAGCTTCTTAAAAGCAAAGAAACTGGATGACTCTTAATTTTCTGCTTTTGACAAGACGTTGGTTGTGATTTTGGAGCATCAATATCAGGGCTGGCCCTGTGGAATAAGCAGTGTAGGCAAATGCTAAGGCCACCGCCCATGTATACTGCATGTATTTTTTACTACAGTTTACTGATGTGAAAGTTATCTRTAGACAAACAAACTGCAATTTCCGCACTCGTCCTTTAAAAAGACGGCTGGCCGGACTGCAGCTTAACAGGCGTTTACACTGAAGTCATCCTGCTGACATAATAAACGTCATCGGTGAGCAGCTATGGGGACCAGACCATCTTCACGATTACTGGATGATGCACAAGAGGAAAACCACAACTCGTTATCTTGTGAAAATGCTCATTGTTATTCCATGATAATGACATAATTAATTCATTAAAAAACACCTATTGTTTTTTCGTGATAACGAAAAAATATGTCGTTATCACGAGAAAACCATGAAAAACCAATACATGTGTAAAACATCCATACTAACTATGGTCCTCAGTGTGTAATTAGAAATCAAAATAAGGGTAATGGAAGTTGCAGTTATRACYYCAGATAAAGTTCAGGTTAAAGTCTTACAGTGTTCACAAATACAGATTTTATGTTGTTTTATTAATCACAAGAATTTAGTAAAATGYTTTTCAAATGGCTGTCAGCAGATGTTGGCAGGTACAAGGTAGACTTCTGGTATTCTGCTTCAAAAATAATTATGTTGTTAACTCTTTTAATTGGACAACCTGGTTTCTAACCAACGTCAAACTGTTCAATTTGGTTTGTGAATGTTTGTAAATTCGGAGTGAGATTTTAAAAACTGCACATGGGGCACCACCTGAAATCTTGCATTTAGGTCAGTCCTGCCTAAGACTCGTGGGGACAAACTTTGGAGCCTTTAACTTCCTCACTGCGTTCAGTTGTCTCCAGTTCTAACCTCTGTGTACATTTTTATCAGGATATATCTTTTTAACCCCCACATTCAAAATGTTATCAGGACCACTTTCTGGTAACGCTTTCTATTACGGTACCCTTATTAACATGTAATTACAAGGTAATAAAACACGGTAATTAAATGTAATTGCTACCTTATTACCATGTAATTACGTGGTAATTTGGGTACAATTTTACTATGTCTGTAATTGTCTGCAGTAATGTAGTACTTACCTGGTAATGTATTACAATTCACTATGTAACACCTAAATAAATAGTAGGTAATTTGGACAGTTTTAAAGTTATATTTTATTGCAATCAACCACTAACCCCAAAATTTAGTTACGTTTTTTGGTTATAAATATAGTGTTGAGTTACTATTGAATAGTAATTTGATTGTAGTTACCCAATAAAGGAAGTTTTACTAACAGTAGTTTTTATTTTGTACCCTAATTACTACATAATTACATGGTATTAAGGTAGTAATTACAATTAATTACCATTTTTATGACCTTGTAATTGCATGGTAATAAGTGTACCGTAAAAGAAAGTGTTACCCACTTTCTTCCATGTGACCTATCACTAAAATGAAATTGTCCCAAAATTATGCAAAAAAAACATTTATCACTTATAGACTGGATAATTGTAAATTTAAACAATGCCAATCTTTGCTTTGTTCCTTTTGTCACTTTATAAATATTTGTCTTTATCTACATTTAGGCCTTTCATGATTTTTTAAGCACCCCAACTTTTAGAATTCAAACCAGATCTCCCAACAAAGTTGTTTTATTTCTAACAATAAGCTGATCGGATATAAAGTATTATAAATGTATTTAGAGGCTGATGGACCACCTAAGCCAGTTCACAGCAAAGTGACAAAATCAGATTTCAACACAGTCACAGATTTGTTTAGTGAATACACACTTGTTCAAAGGTTGTGGTCTTTAAAATGACCTCATTTGCAATAATCCTATTAGTAAGTTGATCCAAAGAAAACCAAACCAAACTGAATGTAAAGGTTAATATTGTTTAAGGAATAAAAGTAGATTATTTGAACATTGTTACAACCCAAAATTTGATTTAGCATCACTGAGCCAAAAAATGTTTTTGAATTGACATCTGACACATAAAATAATTAATGACACATGTCAAATATAATATTCAGCCGCCTTTTAGTGGTAATAAATCAATAGTGCACATAAAACATGGAATTTGTGGTTTTATTTTAATGCAGCATTGTGCCAATTTCATTTTATGAGAAAATAAGTTCTGAATTTTAAATATTGTTTGCAGAARAATGAGTTATTATAGTTCTTCCCTGTGGTCATTTGGGGGCAGTGCATGATCGTGTTTAAAAAAATAAGTGTTCCCAACTCAGCAAGAGACTAATGAATAAATAAAAATAACAATGGAATGATATTATTTAGTTTTTAAAGCTCAATGAATTAAAAAAGGCCAAATAACATATTTTCTGTGTTCTATGCATAAATGTAATGCATGAGCTGCCTTTAGTTAATTATTTTTATTTGATTGATCTAATCATTTATTTCTGTAAGTGACATTTGTTTATGACTTTCTGAGAAAACTTTAGCTTATGATTACCACAACTAGACTCAGAGTTTACTTCATTGCATTCCATTTTTAATATTTATTTAACGACACACTTTAAGTATGAGCTCCTCAGAGTGAGTGAAGCTGGCGTTAAAATACCTGCCTTTGATCAGATGTATTGATAACTGATGGTCCTGCGTCTTATGTTGAGCCATAAATATGATGATTTGTGCCAAACCTCTATTCTTAGAGGAGCGTAAACATCAACAAGTATCCAGTTGGATCCAGTTTAGAGCTCCCTGAGCAACAAAAACCAGATGGCCAGTCTCAGTTACCATTTGTATAACCATGTCACAGCGGTTCCACAGATCTGAATATCTTCCTGTCCACGGCCATGGCCCCGGTGACTCCGAGCATCATTTCCCCATGAGCGCCCATGGGAACACACACACATGCAGACACACGAGCAGATAAGTGTCCGATGGCTTTTTTTTTATTATTATATGCCCACTTACAGATGTATCAGGACAGCTCCATTTAATACAAGTGCTTCCTGTCAATCAGGCCAGGAGGGATTGTTGTTCTTTTCGTGGGGGGACACTTTGGTGAATTTGATTTTAGCTGAGACAAAACAAGGAGAGACACTTTTCATGTTGTTATGCTTCTCGCTGGGAGGTGCTTTGTATTTTTGGAAGGGTGTTAGCATATCCTCAGGACCAAACAGACTGTTTTGGTGCTGAAAATGTGACAAAACCCTCATGACTTTTTCTGTGTAATGTTGAACCTTTGCATGAAGCAGGCGCAGCTGGGATTGGTGAATTAAAAATGAGCCAAGACACTTGATAACAGATTCRTCAATTTGAGTAAAATTCAATTATGTGTAAATAAATTCAAACAAATTGATGGATGTAAATTATTACWTAATAAATTGTTGAAACTGAAAGAACAGATGCACCTGATGGACTGGGGGTAAACAGCACGTGTTTTAAAAGCTGAGACAGGTGCGTGTTTATGGTTGTGTTGTGTCACCTCTTCTGTTAAAAACTATCCATAAACACTTAGGAACTGGAGAAAGTTTGAAAAAGAGTTTTGATATTTGAAAGGAAAATATTGACCTTTTTATGCTTAAAGGGAAAGTTCAGGTTCTTCAAAGTCAGGTTGTGTGGAAACATTATGAACAATGAATAACTCACCTGTTGTAGATAGCCATCTGCACAACCTCAGACTGAAGAAAATGTAWATGTGTATCTTTATAAATTACTAATATTTGTATTGATGTTATCAAAAATTATTTATAAGCACCTAATGAACCATTTTCTTGCCAGATGGTAAGCCAGCMTTTCTCTATCCTCCCCATTCTCACTGTTCACCTGAATTCTTTGTAACTTGGATTTTAAACAGGAAACTTTTGAGTAAATCACCTGAATGTATGAGAGTTTGTTGTCATGGTTTGTCAGTTTTCCCCTTGGTTTTCCTAGTGTTTCTATGTTCCACTGTGTGTCTCAGCCCAGCTGCCCCTCATTAGTCTGATTGTCACCCTCGTGTTTCTCACCAGGTGTTTTCAGTTCATTCATTAGTTGTCAGTGTATTCAAGTCCTGTCCTGTCTCAGTCTTGTGTCGGTTCATTGTCTTGTGTCCCCCCTGCTTGTATGTTCATCTTGAAAGTCTGTAAGTTTGAGCTGTCTCATCAACAATTTTTTGTTACTTTAATAAATCTTTTGTTCTATTTCTTTGGAGCCTGCCCTGCACCCTGGACCCGTTCCTGCAAAATCCTGTTTTTTGTA